TACAGAGCTCCATTCTATTTCGTGGTGATTTCAGGGAAGCAATGTCCGGGTTAAGTTTCCATTACTTGCATCATATAACGTTTCACATGCATAGATGCAAATGCTTTGTACTTGGAGAGCTGAAATCCTAAGAACGGAGGGGCCTAGACACGGAAAAAAAGGCGCAACTTCGCCGGGTATAGAACCGTGGTCACCCGCCACAAAAACCTGAGACGCTTCCGCCGAGCCACTGACTTTGTCACATATTTCATCGACAGTATCTGTCGGATGTTCTCGGTTTTAGTCGCAAAGCGACGAATTTGAGATCTGTAATTTTCCGAGGTTTAAAGCTTTCCATCCATACCGGATTCGTGCGGATCCGATGAGCGGGAGAGGAGGAGATCCCGGACAAACAAACAACGGTATTATTGTATAGAAACTAATTAGGTGGGGAATCAATGTATGCCAACAGAGCCTCCCACTTGTGCTCAATCTACCAAGACCTGGAGCAAGCAGTGAAGGATTTCTGCAGAATCCCATCAGTCCGAAACAGCAGATAACCCTTTCTTTCGCATTCCCTCACCTTTTCTTGCAAAATATTTCTTTCGGGTCCTCTGAGATGCCCGTCTAACAATCCACAATACAGGGAATGTTCCATTTCAAGTTCTTTGGAGGAGTGGGATGATTGCATGTGCTATTGTGCTAGGGCCTTGGTAGTTCCATCTACCCAGACTCATCCCGGCTTAGAAAAATCGTTTGCCTTCTCGTCTTTCTCGTGGCTTTTGGTTACACGACAACCCAAATCATCGACACCATCCAGAGGTACATGTCTGGACCGGCGACGACGACGACCCAGGTAGATGGAGATATTCATCATCATATTTCATTGATACATTAAGGAAACGGAAAGAAAAATATTTTTCTATGTGAAAGGCGTTAAAGTGTACTGTAGATGAAGACCAGGGAAACGTTCCCCTTCCCAGTCGTCTCGATTTGCCCTCACAGCCGTCAATTAAAAAAACCCTTTAACTTCAGTAGCTACGTCAAGCCGATTTTGAAGCTGAATCAAGAACTGCAAGCAGCGTTGGGAACACTCATTACAAGATCTCATTAATTTCTTGTCTAGCGTGTTTTATACGTGATGCACCTCGTTTCCTCATCGTTTGGATTTTTCCTCCTGAAAACAATGAACGACGTTCTATTTTTTGCATGCATACTTCGGTTCTAAGCACCTGAAATGTTTTTATCATGGTATGTGTAATTCGCTGCAACTCGAAGGTCCTTCAAGAGGATTACTGAATTTTTGAGTGAGTTTCGTTTGCTACATTTGGCAATTAAAATGAATGAATATTTCTACTTGTTAACCAGCACGAGGCGCGCATGAAAATGAGTTATTTAGTTCCTTTTTCAAAACTTGATAACTTCTCTAGGATTTGATGGGTTCACCCCTCTTCCCCTGACCACATGGGAACGCATTCGTATGCGGCAGCACCCCCTCTCCCTAATGAAATTTGCCCTTCACACATTCTCTCAATTCAGTTTTCTTCCTCTGGTGAAAATGGCCGAAAGCGAGAAGGAACGCAATTGCAAGAATTTCGATGTTTTGAATCTAAGGACTCTTCAAAATAATTCCGAAATTAGAATAATTAGAACAATTATAAAATGGCGACTCTAAAACCCAATCTTCACCATGTACACGCTTTCTGCGTATAATAATCTCACTCTTCTCTCGCAATAATCTCGAAGGTGCCGTGACCTCATTATTGTGAATATTGAGTCGCTGAATAATTTACAGCAGAAAAGCAGGGATATTCCATCGGGAATCTAGGATCAATAATAACCAGCACCTTGGTTGTTGCTGATTTGCACGCACTAGCAAATGTTGATTAATCGTCAAGGACCTTTCGGACGATAATAATATATCCGATTCTTATTGCCATTGATTTTCTCCCGCGTCCTTGATACGTCGTTAATAGGTGCGTAGTAATTTGAGGACAGGATGTAGAACCTGGGTAAATAGCTTGTGAATAGTTAAAGCCTTCCCCCTTCATAAGACTAATTCATAAGACCTTCATAAGCCTTCATAAGACTCTCAAATACAGATATGTTTTGAAACACGGAAAAGAGGCACAATTAAATGGGCCATTAAGCCTCGTGTGTACAACAATTCTATAATTGCATTCTGTGATCACTGCTTTGATTGCAGAAATAAGACCATGTACAAAGGATTCATCATTCGCAAAGTCTGCTTATGAAGACATAATTAAAGATTTTCCTCATAGGTTTATTGGAATTTAAACAGACTGCTGCCTCTTCGCATGCATCCCCTACCTATTGGTGATTCTTAGTCTAATCCTCTCTTATACCAATTGAAAGAAACTGATCGCGAAATGGAAAGCATTATGAGTCGCACAAAACCATTGTGAATAATGATACATTTGGAAGGAACGCTAATACCGAAGATGTGAAGACCACGCCGAATAGTCTCAGAAGTCAATTCTTCTATGAATACAGGAATGTGCTGAAAAAACTAAAGAAGTGCGAAGGCGTGGTGGTACGTGTACAATCCATTGTTGTATTTAAGGAAACCTTCTGTCCTCGAATTTGCACTGGGAAATCAATTTTTTAAATCAAAAGAATGAAACAGCAATGCAAGACTAAGGAAGAAGGGTATAAGGTATACTAGGCTTGACAAGAAAGGGCCCAAACTTGAACCCTTAAAGCATTTTCTATTCTGCACACATTTGACGTTTTCTAGCTCAAAATGTCTCAATAGAATTGGCCTATGTCTAGCCCTAAACTCATGTGAATCCACACAATTATGGCCACAAGGCTTCACTAACGTTACACTGGACCATCCCTCTTACTGGTATGTGGTTTTGATGGGCCATGCCTTGTTCACCTTTGGTGAAAAAGGCATGTATACATATTTCTTGCCATTAAGCCTTTTCTTCACCATTGGCAAAAGTTAATCATTCAGTTTTTATCATCAGAGATGTCGTTGCCACTATATTGCCACCTTGCACAGACATGCCCATGTATCTCATGGAGTATCTTTCCCTCCATTCGCCTTCCTCCACCTTTCCCTTCTCTATTTCCTCACGATCCAATGTATTTGGTGGGGTGTATCGTTGTGGCTGGCACGAATGAAGGTAATTATGAAGGTCACAAATATATATATATCATTATGACTGTTTGTAGCATTCGTATTAATGGGTGAAAGGGTTATGCTAAAACCATTTGCAAGTATTTAAGAAGTACTGGCGGCCTGCGGCCACTACGCTGGCCGCCTAATAGGTGGAAATTTGAATCGTCTATGGTGAGCATAACGTCTCCTTGACATCCTCTGTTCATCGCATTACCCAATCGGAACTGAACCGCTTCATTAGATTTATACACATACAGCTTACAGTTCACAGGGAGATTTTGTTCCTAAACACCATCATCATGATATTCCAGCTCATTACCACTACCGTCATTGTGAACGCCTGGGTTTAGTAGTTTTACATGGGTCTTAAGACGACGTTTCTGATTTTGTTGTACCAACACAATCAATACTCTTGCATCACTAATTTGCTCATGGGCTATTAGAATTAGTTAATGGTACAGATACCAATGTTTCTGAAACAGTACGGGCCATTTCGAAGAACTTGTTCGACTTTAGCAAAGAAGGAAGGTAGCGCATGTGCGGCACAATACAAACGAATAATTCAAGTTCAGCGAACAACACTTTCAGAGCCTCAGGATGAAGTGTGAGTTGCAGCAATATGGAACAAATGCCTTCTCCCTGCAGCAAAATGTACAGCTTGACAGTGCTCGCTACGGAAAACGACGGTTTTTATTGAGATGACATGGAGAGGCATGACAAAATGTCCCGAGTTACATGATGTAATGATAGCACACCTGACCGACAAGCAGTAGATCCGGGGTTCAATTCCCGGTCGTCCCTGCTTTCCCGCTTTCGATACCTGAGCGCAGCATTCGCTGCCTCTTGCTGTTCAGCGGTCTGAGTGGTCTTACGCTCCCTACGTGCAACTGGGTACTGTTCATTACTCATTCTAGCCATTACGGCTAGCATCTCCTAAAGTATCGATTTAGGCAGTTCGCACCGCAACTGCAGTGGCAAATGTGGTTTCCGCGACAGCTCTAACCGTTTCGTATCTGCAGCGACTGCCTCATCGCCGTCCTGTGGGACCTCCTTCAACATTTTTTTTCGCTTTGAACCTCACCTCCCAAAAATCGCCTCCATTTAGATGGGAGGAGCGGTCCCTTTGCGCGACGTATGAAACAAAGAAATTACGTCTTACTTTATTAGAAATTACGTCTTATTTTGACTTCATCAATCATATGAACTCAAATAAATCGACCATGACATGAAACGCAAGCAGAAAACTATACCATGGAAGCGATGGCCCGAACCGCCACGCCTGGCCTAACGAAAAACAATACATACCGAAAAAATACTTCAGCTAAAAATGTATTCAAATGGAAAACTTGCAGTCGATCAGTGAAAATGAGACACGCACACAGTTAGTAGCACTCTTTCATTGACGCAGCTGAGTGTGAAGTCTATGGATATAATAGGATGAGCAACAGCCAATGGCTGAGACTGACATAGCCCTATGGACCTGGCGCTAAGAGCGTTGGATGGCCAAGCCTATGGCCTAGAATAGCATGGCCTCATGGACCTGGCGCTTTGAGTGGTGGATGGCCTAGCCCATGGCCGAGGATGGCGTAGTCCTACGGACTTGGCGCTCTGAGCGGTGGATGGTCTAGCCTATAGCCTGAAGTGACATAGTCTCGTGGGACTCCCGCGTTGGGGTAACAACTACCATCACAACCGTCGAGTCCTTGAATTAAAGTATTGTGTTGGAAAGAAAGTCTTGCAACACTTTCTAAAACTATTTATGAAAATTTTCAAAGGAATGATTGGCGGGGCTTTGCATTTGTATATGCTTGAATGTTCTCGAAGCTTCTGCCCTCGGGCTATATGAGGCGGCTTCTGCCATTAGTTGGCAGCCATGGCTCCGATCGAACGAGCAACTCTTCGCCCCAGCGTCTACTACGAGTTCCTCCAAGGACACTCTGCGATAGCCGCCGCGGACAACATCTGCGCTGCATTCAAGGGCAACGTCGTCCACTATTCCACGGTGTCTCGATGGTTGAAACGCTTGGAATCTGGCGACACGACCTTCGGAGATCGACCACGCTCAGGACGTCCATCTACAGTACAGTCGATGACGAAGCCCTGCGGAACGCCCTCAACGAGAAGCCGAACGCCACCACTCGCGAATCGGCGACTACACTTGGAGTCACCCATATGGCCATCGGCAACCATCTGAACGACCTCGGCTATCGGAAGGTTTACTCGACATGGGTCCCTCATCGGCTCGGCGACTCTGACAAAGCAAACCGTGTCGGTGTCGGCGAATCACTGCTCCTTCGTCCGCACAGAAAGGACCTTCTGAAGGAAATCGTTACTGGAGATGAGAGCTGGATCCTTTACGTCGACCATACTCGCAAGAGTCAGTGGCTTCCACGAGGAGAATTGCCACCACACGAACCGAAACCAGGGTTCCACGAGAAGAAGGTTCTTCTCTGCTGTTGGTGGGATTCAGAAGGAATGTTGTACTTTGAGCTCCTGCCAACCGGTACCACCGTGACTGCCGTTGTCTACGCTGCTCGACTTCAGAAGTTGGCTGGCGTCATTCAAAAAGAGCGTCCCAAACGCGACAAAGTTCTCCTTTTGCATGACAACGCTCGTCCACATGTTGCGAAGATGACTCGCCAGACGATTTCGGAACCGGGCTGGGAAGTTTTACCCCATCCAGCGTATCCTCCAGACTTGGCCCCTTCCGACTATCACTCGTTCCGGGCCCTCAAGAATCACTTGCAGGACGAGGCCTTCGACGATGGAGCACGGCTCGAAAATGATGTCGGCCGTTTCTTCGCTTCGCAATCGCCAGAGTTCTGGGCAAAGGGCATCGAGCAGTTACCCGTGCGTTGGGAACATGTCATAGACAACAATGGTCATTACATTGTAGACTGAAATTGCATTTTAATAAAATTATGAAGTTTTGAAAAATTTGCGCAGAGTGTTGCAAGACTTTCTTTCCAGCCCAACATAAGATTTTCGACGATGCGTCAGGCCGGGAAAGTCTGTAATTGAAGATGCACATGTCCCAATGAAAATTTCGGAAAGGAAAAGGACACAATACGTGATCCTGCAATGGAAAGACATCATCCGTAAATATCAAAATTCCTTCTTCCATGCTTCCTCCTGGGATTAGCCGGCTTCATGAAAAGAGGGGAAGTTGTTCTCAATTGCATTGTTTATATCGTTCTTTCCCAACCCTCTCCATCACTTATTCTGCCCATTGTTCTTGCACCACTATGAATAATTTTTTTGTCAGAGTATACAAGAGCATGCAGAACCATGCTGCATGATCACTTATGCAGTATGATCCGGCATTCGAGAAGGACGAAAATGGACGTGGTTCTCCTCCATTGAACTTAGACAAAGAGGAGAAGTTCCGCCTTCTTTTAAAGCCTTCATCAACTTTCCCCAAAACATTCTCTTATTTAATTAGCTTTTTTTTCCAAAGCGATGCAAGAGACCTGGTAAAAGAGAATGTATAATTTATGTTTTAAAAGAAGGAAAACAAAGGTCACATTGCACGTTTTCCATTCACGTGAGTTTTCCATATACAAAAGTTACCTGTAGGTAGAAGTAAACCTCCTTGTTTCATGCTCTTTTTTTAGCATCTAAAGTCTGACGTAATTGACAAAGAGAGGCATTACATTCAGAGATCCTTATGGACTCAGAAGACTCAGTTTGGAGTTCTGTGGAATTCGTTTCAACAGGCCTGGATGAAGGTGTTGAGCAATGCTCAACCCCAGAATCCTCAATGAGCAACAAACGAAATATTCAATAAATAAAATCAGAGCATCTGGAAATATGAAATATACTTCAAAGGCTTCGGTTTAGTTGAAAAATGTTGTTGTTGTAAGCCCAGAGAAGAAATGACTCTTGGGATATGTTTTGGAAATTCATTCCTTGATTCAGAGCTCAGGAATTATAACTTCTATGACACCTAATATATTGATACTTAGTATATAAACGATTGTGACTGAGAGACTGAATGACTGACTGTTGAAGCTAGTTTTAGCCATGATCTAGATATGAAGGAAAGATGAAACCTGATATATATACAAGGGATTTCTCAAAAGTTCTGCAAGTAGCGGCAGAATTCGTCAATTCTCTTGCGATCAGATCGATTTCTGTGTGTTGCCCGGTCAGCAGTAACCTCCTCCTTGTTGTCGGACTCCCTGAACTTCTTGGCTATGCCGTAAACTTGCGTCTTCTTGTAGCCAAACCATGCGATTATCCCCCACGGGATTGCCCCCACGGGGGCGATTTGCCTGCGCGAAGCGATTCGAGTATCGCCGCCATCCGCTCGTATTCTCGGCTCATCGCTGGTTGTTGACTGTTCGGTGGTTGCGATGAATTACCTCTTGAATTACCTTGTCGCGGCGTGTCGCACACACAAAATTGGCGCTGACGTCGTCGCTGTAAGTAAACAAGTCAAATTTCCGGATTTACCTCGACGGTCCTGTATATCCGTAATTTAGCACGATCTACTGTACGAATATAGCTTGCATGCCTGTACACACCATTTGCTTACCGTTCCAGAACTTTCTCTCCTCATATTTGAGCAAAGTTCATACATGATCTTCTTCCATTTGTTCTATCGCTCACTGGGAATGACTATGCAACCCTCACCGTGAGGAACAAAGTCTCAACGTATACCTTAGCGGAAATATCGTGCACTATGAATATCGACCAGAAAGGGGAAATAGGTGACGTCTGAGTATAGCCAATCCTTTCGATCATTAATGGATGAGAATCAACACATGAATACGAAGCAAGTGGATATTGCGTCGGTCAGTGTTGCACGCGAGCCACAGTGTTTCTATTCCAATTGCTTCGCTCATGCCTCCTTTTCGACTCATGATTGGGAAAACTCTATAACATTTGAAGCACTTCCCTCTCGGGGAGAAGTCGCAGAGATCCAGTTCGTGGGCGAAGGGGGAGAAACAGTCGGAGTGCGACCCGTCACCGTCAGATTCCTGGAAAGATTTACCGGGCACGTAAGGTTCAATTTCAATTTCATCTTCTTGGGATCCAACAAAATCGACTTTTTTCCGAGAAAGATGCAAGCCGTGACATTAGCCCGTCAGAGATTTTATATCATCCTTTCCTATGTATTGTTTTTGCAGTTTCATGGATTTCTGTAAAAAGTTCCATTAACGATACTAGTTGATTTATCCTATTCTATCGAAGGAGGCTATTAAATATTTTTCAGTTGAGGATGCAGACCACTAGTATGTCTTTTTAAATACTAAATCGACTCTCTCAGCCCTACACATTCAGAATATACGTATTCCGATGTCCCTTGCCAGTTAATATTTAATACATACTCCGAAATCCAACGCGTAGCTTTGGATTTTGGAAAGGAATTTAAAAACCGAAACGTTCACCGCGGTGATTATTTATTATATTGGTTTAGTCATATTTTCTGCATGATGAAATCTGAGTGCCACCCGTGGTTATTGGTTTCACCGCGAACGCATTGACTGCCAGGCACAACATATATATTCATTTGCTTTAGAAGGAATACTGTATTTTTCTTTCTGTGGAAACCACTTCCAGCACAGTTACCCCAATATACTCGATAAAGATTAAAAGATGATCAGATTGTGATAATGAAGGACGGGGCCTCCGTCTCTAGTAGCACATAATATTGAAACAACATTGATTCAACGTTGATTCATAATCCTGACGTTGAACCAACGTTGAATCAATGTATCGAGGTAGAATGGGAGCGGCAGTCAAAGGTCTCCACATTAACTCAAATGAGGTTCTCGTAATTCCTATTTACGGTTGGGGGTGGGAGGAAACCTGCCTGATGTTCATTCTATTCAACGGGTGTTCAACACCCAGTAATTTTTGACGATTGGATAATTTTCTCCATTGAATGTACATTATGTCATTGTGCCAGGGTCTCGGTCGCTCCGCCTACCCGGACTCTTCCTGGTTCAGAAAATTATTTTGGTTTCTCGTCTTTCTCGCGGTTTCGGGTTACACGATCAGCCAAATCATCGACACCACCAAGATGTACATGGCTGGGCCGACGACAACGATGACCAAGGTAGAACGAATCATGTAGCTCTATTTTTCATGGAATCGGTTGGTATTCGGGTAGCGAATTCATTGCGCAAAATAACAAATTAGATGGAAACAGAAGAGACTCTCCCCTTCCCAGCCGTCACCATCTGCCGTCGTAGCCGCCTCTTGAAAAAAGTCCAAGATCCCAACCTCGGCAGCTACCCCTCGGAAATCTTGATTCTGAATCAAGAACTGGAAAGATTGATTAAAAAACTATCAAGCGCAGAAGATACGTGCCAAGCAACGGATCTGCTGTCTCCCTTACTTGATACGGCGTGCATGAAGGACGAGGACGGGGTACAGAATACTTGTATCAAACCCTTCCTTGAGAGAAACAGTGAGTTTTACAAACGCTTCCTTGCATTCCAAAAAAATGCTTCAATCATTAATGTAAAACGTCGCATAATCCTCTTTTATACTCAAAAGTTTATGGTGTGCACTTATCTACTATAGCGGCAGTTCGTCCTTCACTTCGAATCAGAATGACTTAGGCTTACATTGGAAAAGACTTTAAATCTTTTGGCTACCGCATAAATTTTTTTCGCATGCAGTTTTCCCTAAAATCACTTATTACTGGAAACGTTTGTCAAATTCAGAGACTACCACTCCGACTAAAAAGAATACGGATTCCTCTTCCGACAGGCCATTCCAGCCCACAATCGCTAAGAGCCTAATCTCTAGAGACGGCATCTCAGACTTCAACTGACAAGGACATTTTTCAGGCATAATTTTCGTGTTTCCGGAAAGGCTTCCAAACGGACATGATCTAACATTGACTCGTCTCGAGACGGCTGCCACTCGGCAAATATCATGTATTGAGTGTGAATAAGCGTAAGAATTGAAGATTGTGTTTATTCTGTTTTCCGTTTTCTACCAACATGTCCACTGACAAGGCCTCTGGCGCGAAAACAATGAGCCGCAATCTCTTTTCTTCAGGGATCCCCGAAGAGGCCGAAAATAGTACGGTTGGTGCTGGTTGGGACCAAGGAATCGGTGATAATGGGACGGACTCAGTCACTCAACAGACAGGTACCAAAACATTGTATTTATCTCAACTGCACGAAACTGATTACACCGCAATTGTCGGGTAACATCAGCTACGAAGTTCCTTTACAAAAGGATTTGGATTAATTTTTTTAATTGAAGCGCCGACGACCTATTACCCCTCGTGGCTTCTCCAAACTTTGTTGGACTCAAGCTCCTATTTCACCTTGGAAGGCTTCTTGACGGACTCCAATTCCCAAGATTATTTCGTCGACATCATGAAGTCGATACGCCATTGCAGCTTCAATGGGGAACCTTGCAGTGGTAGGTAGTGACCACTTTCTTCACTAGAGCTCATGGGCGAAACTACTAGGGCAACGTCTAGTAAGTCTCATGAATTCTTCTGAAAGTATACCATCATGTGCAAGGAAGCAAATAAAAATAGACTTGTGGAATCATTCTCTAAGTAAGTTCACAGAAATAGGCGATGGATTATTCTGCAAAGACGACTTACAAAAAAAGAGATAGTAAAGTATGGACGTTTCGTGAATGACTTCGTCGATCATCATTGCACTAAGAATAAGGTAATTTGGAGAATATGGTCGTTAAAAGCGATACCAGGTTTTAACTGTCCGTGAAGTTCAAAATGGACTCTGGCAATGATTCAGAAAAGTTATTTGATGACTCATGTATTCAAACCCGGCAAGACACACGCAACAAATGCATTGGAATTGAGTATTTGGATAATTTACATGTTTGTCCCATCGGACCATATTGCCTCCATTGTTGGCGAAACATCATCACGCATTATGAGAAATATAGGCACTAAAAAAAAATAAGGTTCACAAGAAAAATATTTGAGAAAACTGAGTAATAGGAAAACGAAACAAAGGAGGATAACTAGCTGAAATATACAATATTATATGCATGGAGGACAAGCATAGAAGACTACAAAATAACAAACTGCTTTTCCCGAATCATATTCCAGTAGATGCAGGTATGACGATTAATTTCATAACCTGACTCCAGGGTAGGTGCGAGAAACAGCATCGAAACGTTCCATGAGTAGCAATGTACGTGAACGGTAAGTTGTGTCCAAAGTTAGGATGTTCGAGAAGGGATCTCCCAGATATCTAAGTGAATGTGAATTTCCTGTGCGAACAAAAAGATCATATAGCATGGGGAAAACATTCCAAATCCCCGTGTACATATACACAAATATGATAATAAACTATTGACCACAGGACATTTCTATTTTAAGTGCAAGGGATGTACAGCTGCATTCAAAATTCATGGCAAGAATCGTTAGGGAAAACATCAAACGGATGTCCAGTAGGCGTTCCATGAAGATATTCGCAACATATTTCAGGCGGATATCAAATCGATCTCTGTATGTCCGGAGCGGATATCCAGGGGATGTACAGAAGTCAATCATGTGCTAACTGGGTTCGCACAGAATTGAAATTTAACATTGTCGATAGGCCAGAGGAGTGCACTCATAAAAAAAAATGTATTGTAGACACGTATTACCTCCAATGGAGGTGGCAGAATTTTCCATGTAGGGTTAGACGTTGATGTTGACAACACCACATGCCAACTGCAAGTGAAAGATCTAACTTTTTTCACCAGCATTCTGGAGAGATGGTAGAATAATTGTGACCGAATGGATGCATGCTGCTCTCAGGACATTTCCACTTGAGTAGTTCTCGTATTAGTTCCAGTGCGGTAGGTCGAGGAATGACATGTAATTAAAATCCTAAACTTTGGCGTCTTCCGTCTTCCGTCTTCCGTTTTCCTCGACATGAATGAAAATGCCAAGCATTTCATCCGTTGTAAATACTCTTCCTCTGTCCTATTTTTTAAATTCACCAAAAGGTAATTGCTAAGTCTGCTTTAAAAAATATTGTGAATATAGTTCCTCCATACCCATATAATTTCAATTTATCCTCATCAGAAATAATAGACTCCCGCCACTTTTCCACTCTCTCTTTTCCAGTGACTTTATAGTTCTTCAAACAGAAGCATATGGGACGTGTGTCACCTTCAACTGCAAGGGAGGCAAGAACGTTCATGGTTCTCAAGACTTAAATTCTGAAGGCTACGGGTCCAAGGAGCCTGACTTCTTCAAGAGCATGAAACCATCACTAAGACCCCCTTTCCAATGAGTCAGCACTACCTTCTCAGCCCTCTCTCTTTCATTTTGGTAGGAAGGGCTTCATCTCGTGCTCACGACATACGCACCGAACAATGTGCTCCTTCTATCGCCGGCCGATGGCTTCAGGCTCACGGTTCACCCAATTGAGTCCGACCCAAATTCGCTGGGAGAAGGATTTGACGTGAACCTGCAAATGGTTTCCAACGTCGTCATTGCGAAGATGGAGTTCGAGCGACTTCATCCAGAGGATTGTGCTCTGGATACTTTCTTGATGCAGAGGTTCGGCACCGAGGTCTTCAACATCACACAACACACAAAATACTCTAAGAAGGTGACATAGGGTGCTTGGTTGGCTTTTCTTCCGTCTTGATCCTTTACTGAAAACCCGTATCTCCGCATGATCAGCTGTGTCAACAAATATGCGAGATTCAAATGCTGCCCGAGGACGCCCGAAGCTGCGATACATATCCGGTTCAGCTGGTCCCCATGAACGCAACAGAAACTTGCAATATAACTAGTGAGGAATTCAAAATCATTTCTGCAAAGTGAACATGTAGATTCCTCCACCACCGCGGGTATGGTTTGGATTAAGATCATGGTATACATGAATCTTATTTACTCCTAATGGTCCCTTCGCAACAACGGAGATTTTCCGAGATATTAAAAAATTGCTTATTTTCGTTAGGTTTTTCTGAATCCTATTCGGATATTCATCAGAAAGTCATCACTGACGATGTTTTCTGCGGTTGTCCTACTCAAGTTTGCACGTAAGCCCCTACTTTGCCTCATTTCGCCAAGACGCGAAAGACGAACGAAAATTTCTGCTGCTTCAGAGAGGAGTCATTCCGATGGTCGCTGTCGTCGGCGCAGATGGGCCGCGAGAAATCTTTGTTTTTGGATCTCATCTCCTGGATGAAGAGCGAGAACAGGAAGCGGATGACCAACGACGAACTGAATAACATGACCTACTGTCATCATCTGAAGTCTGATTGCATTCAAATTGTTTTTATTCAAAGAATTGGTGAAGAATTACAGGAAACATCTCAAACTAAAATTATCTGAATTTGTCTTCTAAAAAAACATGCACACCCAATTACTGCTTTTGGGAGTGCATAAGATGCGGATCAATCCATGTCTATTTACTTTGTATACAGTGAGAATCTCGCTGTCGTCAACGTGTACTATGAAACCATGGCCGTTGAGAAAACCGTGGAGAGTGCTCTGTATCCTGTGAGTAGATGGTATTGAACGTTTCCTCAAAATTTATTTCATGATTCCATGCACAAGATTCTACTTGGAACAGTGGACAAGCTTCATCGGAACACTGGGAGGGTTGCTGGGTCTCTACACTGGAGTCTCCTTCCTTTCCATTCTGGAAATGCTGGAGTGGATCCTGGACCTTATATTGTACGGATGGAGAAAGCCTCGGCACGGCAGGATGGGACCGAAGCGTCTGGTCATCATCACCTGTGAGTTGGGAGACATTTGATGCACTATCCCTATAGGCAATGGGAATTATTTCTTTCATCATGCCTCACAGTGAGGGACAGACCGGAAATGGACGGAAAATCCGGAATGAAGGAAGCGGAGAAAGCAGGCCTGACTTGGGAAGATCCGCCCATCTACAATCCTCCAAATTTTGAAGAAACCTGGAAAGCTGCACTCGATCTTGCCCATTCTCGTAAATTTGTCAAGACGCACCGATCTTCGTATCCGTAGATCGACGCCTGTGAGATATGTTATGTACACTGCTTCTCACATTTTTGCTTTCTTCGTATTTCTGAGAACTATCAATAACCCTCATTATTTGCACAGGTTTTTTTTTGGCTGTAATCATTGGAAACGTGTACAGTATGTCAGTTAATGTCACTACAAGTCAAACGGAACATTGCAATATTAAATCCTTTTTTTCTTGGGTTTCGTTGTTGAACGAATCAGAACGAATACATATTGTGATGCTGACGCTCAGCATTTCCGTGCTTAAATTTTCCTTAGTATCATTCCCTCTGCACAGTTTTTGTTTCCCTCCTTCTGTGAAACATTGGCACAGATTAGTAAATAGTTTAAAAAAATAAACGCTAGAACTGGGATATTGGTGTACTATAAAGCCTTCTGTTCGTGGATGCGACCCACATTAAAAAAAGCGTGCTTCTTCTCCATGAGGATGTCTTTAAGAAAATCCAGGTGGTTCATGAGAACTTCATACAGCAATACTTAAACTGAGGTGGTCTTTGAGAAAGACTGGGTGGTTGGTGGGAACCTCTTTCACATCAAAAATCAGTGTACAGGGTAGTTCGTGTGCACATAAGCCATGTGAGCAGGATATTTCATGTGTACGAAAGCCATAAAGGTTAGACCCGGAGGATCCAGGTTTCGACTAGTTATGATATATTGTGTTGGAAAGAAAGTCTTGCAACACTTTTTGACGAAGCCCTGCGGAACGCCCTCAACGCGAAGCCGAACGCCACCACTCGCGAATCGGACTAGTTTCATCTAATACATATAGACGATCGTGACTGACTGACTGACTGACGCTAATTCCAAGCATATTCTAGAAAGGTTACAAATCTGAAACTTGGTACACATGTACCTTTTGGGATGCAGAGTTCAGAAAAAATCCGACTTTGGAGGTACATGCCCTGGGGGTACAAATTTTGGGAGGAAACGTTTTTCTGAAATATTGATATATATCATGACAAATGAGAATGGCATTCAGAGAGACGGTTAGATGTCCTGGGTTCGGTGGTGTATTAGTAGCATTTCTGACTTGCAATCAGAAGGTCCAGGTTCAATTCCCGGCCATTCGTTGGCTTTTGTTTAGCTTCTTTTGGCTTCCATGTCCCGTTAGTCAATCCCCCTCCTTAACATCATTTTTGCTTGAGTAAAACGGAGAGACATGGAAAGCTGAAACTTGGCATGGATGTGCCTACCGAGACGATGACTTCAGGAAAAATGAAACATTTTAGATCCATGCCCTGGGGGCATATTTTTGTGAGCCAACGTTTTCAAGTATTTTTTTGTCCTGCATATTGGGCTAGTGTGGAAAGATGAAACTTGGTACATAACTGCCTATTAGGATATGGCAGGAAAATTCATTATTCGGAACTAAGTGCCCTGGGTGCAAAAATTTCGAAGGGAGATGTTTTCAACTCATTTTTTTGCATCAGTTAAACTGATGAACATGGAAAGCTGAAACTTTGCATGAATGTGACAACTGAGGAAAGGAGTTAAATAAAATTGTTAAGTCTCGATACATCCTTAGGGGGAATTTTTTCGAGGTGCGATGCTGCAAAAAAAAAATGTCGTGGCGAATTGGACAGAAATGGAAGGTGAAACTTCGCACACGTACCTGTATAAGTGACATGATATTACTGAGCTAAGGGAGAATTCAACTTTCATGGTGCATCCCCTCCGGGCATAGCGTTAGGGTGGGTCGGCTTTTCCAAATATGTTTTTTCACCAGCGAAAAGGGCAAACGTATAATATTGAAACGTTGTGGGCATGTAGTTAACTGAGGATGGATTTTGGTAAGATAAAAAGGGTACGTTTCGGTTAAAACGGCTCAAGGCACGTATTTTGCAAAATGCGTATTTTCACGCATTTTCTGATTCAGCAAAACAGAGGGCGCTTGAAAGTTAAAAAAAACTTGGCAAATAAGTACCTGATGGATAACTGCGTAAAGAAAAAAATTATACTTTTCTAATATATATAGACGATCATGACTGACTGACAGACGTTAATTCAAAAAGGAAAATGTATAAGGCTGAAATTGGGTGGCATGGAGTTCCTTGAGTCTCCATTTCAGAAGAAAAATTTTTTTCCGCTAAAACTCATCAGGGCTCTTTTTTATGTCCCATTTTCCTGAATTTTCTTTTGATCCAACGAAACAGAGACAGAAAATTTAAACTTCCCTCATAAGTACCTGTTTAATGGCTGAGTACAGCAAAATCCTATTTTTAAAATATGTTTCCTAAGCGTAAATTACTGGAGGGAAGTATTTCAAAATGTATTCTCCACCCTTACAAAAAGGGACACAACAAAAGATTTAAAGTTAGGTACACCGAATCATAGAAGTACTGATTTAGATAAAAATCAAGACTATCGACCTTATGTGTCACGTATTTCAATGGGTACGTACTTTAAATACGTGTTTGCTATTTCGCAAAAAAATGAGTGAATTTATCACTATCCAAGGTAATGGAACGCCGAACCGTAGTGTAGCGACCGTAGCGACTGTGTTTGCCCGAAGGGCAAACAAACTCGCTAGTATTTTATAGTCACACTCCCAAAAGTATTCACTTCCATTTATCGTGTCCCAATAGGTAGGGAATGGGTGGGAAATGAATTCTAACATCATGCCTCTTGTGCCTCTCATAGCACTATGTACATCAATTTGTCTCCAAAGAACCTTTAGAATCATAGAAAATATTTCTACAAAAGTACATACTTGAAAAAATTACACAGCGTGACCAGAAAGTTCCCGGACACCTTTCTAAAAGGCAGTTACTTTCGGGGGACCGTTCATTTTTCTGGAGAGAGTTTTTTTTAAGGTAATTTTATTTTTCTCTGTTGCGCATAAAAGTATAATTTTGGATATTACGTCCAAATATATATATATTTAAAGATCATGGATTTGAGTCGCTCCACAATTGCGAATGCTGCGTGCAGTCTTTGATAAGTTTCCAAAATGATTGACGCATTGCATCTAAGCCATGGGCGGAGATATTGAAAATGTTTGATCATAGAAATTTAATATGGCCTATTTTATCATATTTTCCGGTGAAAAATGGTTGTCCTTATTTTTTTTGAATAAATTGTTTTTGAAAGTGTCCTTTGGAAGAACTTTCTGGTCACCCTGTATGGTGAATGAGTGCAAAAAACATTGCCCGAAATTACCAGTGGAAGATGTTGTGCTTTCTTAGGGTGGGAATTTTGTAAGTACTCTTACAAAAGAGACAGGAATGGGAAACTATGTTTTGACAGGGAACATTTCGGATACATGCCATTTCATTTCTCTATATTCCTTGTTTCCCTCCCTCAGCTAAGAAAAACGCCCTGCGGATATCGGTTCAGACAATGCCTGATATATACGAGGATCATGGCCCTTCTAACGTGACGCAAATCTCCTTTGAAGGGAAGGTTACTGTGGGCTTCACGTACCACACAGCACTCATATTGTGGGAATTGGACCGACAATTGACAGGATTGCCTCCCCTCAGTCCAAGTAAGAGTTTTTTAAATATTTTTTTCGCATCCTTCTCCCCTCCCCTTTATCCAACAATGGTTGCGTCTGTTCATTAAACATCTCTCGGGAAAATGGGTAAATGGAGAATCTACGACACATGTGCAGCAGAGTTGTCGTCACTTGGTCACGAAGAGAATATTCATCCTAAATAAAGAGCATGTGTCCCTTTACCCTTTGTGCTGGAGAATCCTATTCTGGTAGAGGTGTGCATCCCAATGAAAAAAAGGAAAATTATTGATGTTTTCCTATGGATCATTTTTTTGCCGGGCATTTATTGTCAAGGGCGGCTTTCTCACCCACTGAAGTCCAGTCCATCAGCCAGGTTCGATCTCATTTCCTTTTAACAGTGACATTATTTTAGTTGGGACGGGCAGTCATGAAAATGAGCAAAGGAACAGCGTCATATTCATTGTGTACCTGCGAATGAAATCCCAAAAATGGAGAGACATAGGTAGTATAGAATTACCTGCTTCGCCGAGAGAATATGACTCCAACAGTTGCTGCGTTTTACCACCACACTTTGCGGTGTACGGGGAGAAGTTAGCAACTGATGGGGAGGTATTAAGAGACGTCAGAAAATACAGGCAATGAGTCAGCCGATGGCTCTTCATTTGTCCGCCTATTTGTGCGCATGTCCGCTTGAAGCCATCGATTTTTCCGAACCTGACCTGACTGACTCGATTCAAGTCAACGCCCACCCCAAACATGCAAATCCATCACCACTTGAACTTTTAAGCTCATTCTGCCACTCATTAGCTCGTGATTTCTCTAATAAACAGACGTGTATAGAGGATAAGGCAAATTGTAAAAGCAAAAAAATTGTGTCGCAATGGAAAGTCAAAGTATCAAGTCAAAAGACTAATTAATGCATTTTCCTACTGCATGAAGGCGTCTGGATGTTCTATATCTGATTCGGGAAGGATACTGGATCTCGAGCAGTCTTGGAGACTGGACATGGGAAATGTTAACAAGAATCTGAAATGAAAAAGGAAGTTATCCTTGCGTTCCCAGTCAGAGCGCTTGCTTAGAAACTTGGTACCTTGGAACATCGTTGTATTCCATTAAAAGTCTTCATGTATTTGTCAGAGAGGAGTGCCACATGAAGGGGAAATCAATTACTATGATGATGGGTTTCACCTAACATATTGGCAGACGATCGAGTCTTTCTCGACTTTCAAGAAAGCGAACTTCATCGAATAATAACCAAGTCTGCCTGTTTGTCGTTCTGTATAAATGTTCTTTAATCCATTCCCCCGCAGAGGGGAATTCGTCTCTTCCACGGTAGTAAAAAATATTGCACACGTTTTGAAGTTTCTCTTCGAGGGCAATGTGGCACGACACAGTCCTCACCTTTCTGAAAAAGCATCGTGGAAGGGAAGGCAAAAAGCCCATGGCTGAGCACCTGCTAGTGACAGCTTCTTCCTAATCGCAAACTCCGATGTCATCAGTCATATGGTCTAGGTTTAACAGTCGT